GGCGCGTGGACGCGTGGGGGACGGTCCGCCTGCGCGGCACAGTCCGCTGCGCATGGCTGATTGCTCTTCTGAGACGCCCGACTCATACCGCTGCTGGCCCCCTCTACACACGTGCGTACTCAGCACACAAATACACACACACACACACACATACATGCATCACACACACAAAAGACGTCCACACGCGCGCGCACGCTCTCCAACCACGCCAATCCGACCGACCCCACTGCTGCCGCTGCTGCTCCCCTCCCTCTGCGCCCGCTGGCTCGGCATCAGTCATACGTTCATACAAACAATCATACCATGCGGCAACCAGCCACCCTGCTGCAACCGCTGCCGTTTCACTCCATCCCCTCGCGCGACACGTGATCCGCAACCGCGCACATGCACACGCACACGCACGCGCTCACCGCCGTCTGTGACGCCCGCCGCGGCGCCGCCGGGCGACACCAGCACGCCGCGCAGCAGCAATTTGAAGCGGCCCGGCTGCAGCGCCAGCGCCGCTGCAGCAGCCGCATACAATTGGTCGCCCGAGGCGGACGCAGGCAGCTCGAGGGCGCGCCGCTGGCCGGCCACTGTCACGAGCTGCGCCGACACCACCGCCGCGGCCGGCGGCAGGGCCGGCATGTAGCTCGTATTTGGGCCGCCGGGCGGCAGGCGTGCAGGGGCGGATGAGGTGTCCGGCTGCGGGCCTTGCGGCGCTGCGCCACTGCTGGTGCTTCCGCTGCGCCCCTCCTGGATGTCTGCGGGTCCGCAACGAGTCACGCGTGCACCAAATCCGATCAAAGACGATTGAAAATTACCACTCAGCCTGCCCAGCACCGGCAGTGCGCGCGCTCGGACTCAAAACTCAATGCCAAACCACCCTGGGAGGGTACAGGGCATGCCGTGTGTGACCAAAGTAACAAGGCGGCCTACATTGCTGAAATACATATGATCACTTGCCTGAAGGTGTGCTGCTCGCGGCAGGGTGTCACTTGACAACGCACCAGTGATCCCTGGATCCCACCAAAGCCTTCGGCATGAGCAGGCGCCGTCACAATAAGATTGTCTCAATCATGGACACAGATAACAAGGGTCATCTGGTCCTGGGGCTGGCCTCCGCGGCAGCAAGCGCGGCCGCGCTCGCCGCCCTATGGCAGGCACGCTCCTATCAGCGTCCTCTTGGAATCTCGGTGGGTGTATTCTGCCTACAGGCAGCAAAGCGTGCAATTGGGGGGGGTGGCGGCGAACCCGCACCGACAATCGGAAATTGCAGCCCGTTACGAGGGTTGCAACGCCTGCATGCGCGCGCTAAATATTATAGGCAATAGTCACAACTGTATAGGGGCGGCCTCAAGCCCATGGCCCTTGGCGAGCAAATTGTCCGGCACTCACGCAGCAGCAGACGCGCGTCGCCGCCGCCGCCCCAGGCGCCCCGCACGCGCCCCTCGCGCCGCCCCCGCACCGCTGTGGCGCCGCCGAGTGGCCATCATATATTCCCAATGGCACCGCTGCGCCATGCAATCCCCATAAACTCCACCTTGAGCGCCGCGCCTGTCGCACGCGTGCTCGATGCTCGCACCTCCCCCCCTGCGCCCCCAAGACGGGACCCCCTCTTTGCCCGACCCCCCCACTCTTTTGCGCTCGATGGCACACACGAAACCCACACCAACCGACTCCCGCAGGACCTGGATGACGAGGCGCGCGGCGTGCTGGAGGCGGCGCGGTCGCTGCAGCGGGCGTCGGGGGCGGCGGTGGTGCAGCCAGAGCACGTCAAGGAGGCACTCGAGGCGGTGGCGCGCCTGCAGGTGCGTGTGTGCACGTGTATGTGTGTGCGCATAAATTAGTGGATGCGGGTATTCACGTGGGGGGCATGTATAGTTTGTGCACGCGGCGCTGCGGCGGCCGAAAAGAGTTGACCGGGTCGGGGCAAGTGTGTGCTTGTGCGTGAGAAAATGGTGTGTGTCAGCTGCAATCCAGGGGAAGCGCGTTGTCGCGGCTTGGGGTGTCTGCGAGGGGTACGCAGAGGCAGCAGGCCGGCGCAGGGCGGCGGCGCCGGCGGCAGAAGCGGCGTGCGGCGCCGGCGGGCGCCCCGCAGCAGGGGGGACGGCCCAGACGGCGGGGATTTGAGGCGCCGGCCGGCCCGCCCTCGCCCCGCGCCCCGAGCGGCGGCGGCCGCCGCGGGGCCGCTCCGCGCGCCGGTCAGCCGCGGCAGCGCCGCGTTTGTATGGTTGTTCGACAATTATTACAATCAAGAACCGGCTTCGCGGCGTGGCAAGCGCGTTCCCGGCCGCGCCTCGAGCCGCGCCACACCCCATCCACTCATCTGGCCTGGCGCCTCGCAGGGTGGCGGGGGCGGCCAGGGCGGCGGGGGTGGTGGTGACGGCAACCTTACTAAGGAGGAGCTCGAGGAGACGATGAAGAAGATGCTGGCGGTGAGTGGATGGGTGTGTGTGTATGCGTGTGTGTTTGTGGGTTTGTGTGTGTGTGTGTGGGTGGGTGAATGTTGGTGTGCGTGTGCGTGTGTGCGTGTGCGCACGCGTGTGCCTGTGTGTAGGGGTGACTGTGGGTGTACATGTGCGTGTGTGTGTGTGTGTGTGTGTGTGTGTGAGAGAGAGAGAGACAGAGAGAGACAGAGAGACAGAGAGAGAGAGAGAGAGACAGAGAGAGACAGAGAGAGAGACAGAGAGAGAGAGTTGGGGGGAGGGGAAGGCATGACGTCGTGCCTCTGGAGGGTTCTCCCGAGTCCCCCCGCGCCACCCTCGGTCGTGTGCGGCCGCCTGAGCCACTGCGAGGTGCCAGCGCCGGGCGGGGCCGCTCAGTTCTACTTTCCCCGGCCCGCTGCCCCTGGCCCCCAGCGTCCCCGGGTCTCGTACATCATGACTCCCAGACCTGGGGCGGCCTGCGGCCTGCGGCCGTGGCGAGCACCCCCAGGTTGCCCCCGTCAGCCCAACCCCTGCCACCCTCGGCCGTCCACCCACACAAATCACCCAGCCGGAACCCCATTGCATAAGCCAGCACCTGCTTTGACAACGCGTTTTGACGGCCTGCCCCCCATGCAAATCACCCCCCTCGTGAG